TATATTTAATCATATAGTCATATTAAAAATATGTGATGATGGTTGATCTCTCGCTCCACACCTAGTATGGGGCTTTAAATTTTCTGGGAGGGGAGTTGATATGGTGCTCATGTTTTCACAGAAAGTCAGACAAAAATATCCGCAAACGTCATTAATGTTTGTCATATTCTAAAATTTATATGGTCGTCTTAGTGTGTGACCTCGCATGTCGACGTGGTTCGATGTGTTGGTTAGTCTAATTTGTTTGAACTGTAATATACCAATACACGAGTATTAGCACATAGCTAATACAATAACACCACAAATGCAAGGAGACAACTAAAATGGTTAGACGATGAAAGAAGACAAATCTAAACTTCAAAAATTCTTTAGAATACATATTTATTGTGGTAATTTCTTATAATATAATATATATTTCTGTTGGGGAACATAGCATGCAATTTTAAAAAAATCTAAGCTCACGCAAGATCTATCTAGGAGATGCATAGCAACGAGGGGGGAGTGTGTCTACGTACCCTCGTAGACTGTAAGCAGAAGCATTTCACAACGCGGTTGATGTAGCTGAACTTTCTTCACGATCCACTGATCGAGTACCAAACGTACGACACCTTCGAGTTCTGCACACATTCAGCTCGGTGACATCCCTCGCCTTCTTGATCCAGCAAGACGTCGAGGTAGTAGATGAGTTCTGTCAGCATGGCGTGGTGACGGTGATGGTGAAGTGATCTCCGCAGGGCTTCGCCTAAGCACTACGAAAATATGACCGAGGGAGTAAACTGTGGAGAGGGGGGCGCACACGGCTAGGCAATTGTCTGGAATGTTCTAGGCGCCCCTCCTCCTCATATATATAGGTTGGAGGGAGAGGGAAGAGGCCAAGGGGTGCCCCAAGTGGGGCCGAATCCCACTTTGGCTCCTGCCCTGGTTCGCCCCTCCCCCTTCCTTGTATAGGCGCCAGGGGAAGGAAGGGGGAGGTGGCGCCCCCCCTTCCTTTCTCCCTTGAGGAGGGGAAGGAAGGAGGGGCTTGCCCTCCCTCCTTTCCTTTTCCTAGGGCTGTCCGGCCTGGTGGAGGGGCGCATCAGCCCCTTGTGGGCTGGTTTGTCCCTTCCTTTGGCCTATTAAGCCCATATCTTTGCCGGGGGTGCCCGGGACCCTTTCCGGTGAACCGATATGTACCCGATGTCCTCCGAAACACTTTCGGTGTTCGAATATCATCGTCTTATATATCAATCTTTACCTCTCGACCATTTCGAGACTCCTCGTCATGTTCGTGATCTCATCCAGTACTCCGAACAACATTCGGTCACCAAAACACATAACTCATATAATACTATATCGTCATCAAACGTTAAGCGTGCAGACCCTACGGGTTCGAGAACTATGTAGACATGACCGAGACACCTCTCCGGTCAATAACCAATAGCAGAACCTGGATGCTCATATTGGCTCCCACATATTCTACGAAGATCTTTATCGGTCGAACCGTTATGACAAAATACGTTATTCCCTTTGTCCATCGGCATGTACTTGCCTGAGATTCGATCATCGGTATCTTCATACCTAGTTCAATCTCGTTACCAGTAATTCTCTTTACTCGTTTCATAATACATCACCTCGTGACTAACTCCTTAATCGTTTGCTTGCAAGCTTATGATGTGTATTTACCGAGAGGGCCCAAAGATACCTCTTCGATACTCAGAGTGACAAATCCTAATCTCAATCTATGCCAACTCAACAAACACCTTCAGAGATACCTGTAGAGCATCTTTATAATCACCCAGTTACGCTGTGATGTTTGATAGCACATAAGGCATTCCTCTAGTATCCGGGAGTTGCATAATCTTATAGTTGAACGAATATGTATTTGACATGAAGAAAGCAATAGCAATAAAACTGAACGATCATTATGTTAAGCTAATGAATGGGTCTTGTCCATCACATCATTCTCCTAATGATGTGATCCCGTTATCAAATGACAACTCATGTCCATGGTTAGAAAACCTCAATCATCTTTGATCAACGAGCTAGTCTAGTAGAGGCTCACTAGGGACATGTTGTTTGTTTATGTATTCAGTATTAAGGTTTCCGATTAATACAATTCTAGCATGAATAATAAACCTTTATCATGAATAAGGAAATCTAAAATAACAACTTTATTATTACCTCTATGGCATATTTTCTTCAATTTCTTTGGTCAAAATTATTATCTAGAAAACACACATCGATTATAGCATATGCAAATTCGAAATGTTTATGAGTTTTGGTTAATGAAATATGTACTTGCATTCTTTTGTGTAAAAGCTTTGATGATATATGGCCTGAAAAATGTAGTAGCATATGTATATAATTTTCTTGAAAATGTTATCGGCATATTTTAAATTTTTGTAGACTCAAACTTTCATAAACCATTCTAAAAGTTTGCCTGTAATTTTTATTTCGTTGATCTTATTTTGATATGTACGACAGGCTATTCTTGTGTCGAGCACTTATTAATGGGCACCGGCTACCTACACGGATACTCGAAAGAACAACTGCCCTCTCATTGAGAAATAAAAAAAATACAAATATATCGATGAAAACAAAAGAGCGGCCCTGCCACACCTTCACTGCCCACATCACACCTGCAACCACACGTCGCGCGACCTTGGCCGAGCTTCGAGGTCGCGCGGCTCGGCAACAACGATTACACCCCATTGTCATCGCACATGCGCTTCCTGGATGACGGTCACGGGGTCCACGGTGGGGCAGAGATGTCAGATCAAATCCAGACATCGGAGCGCTCCACCAACAAGGTGTTTTGCGATAAATCCTAG